CCTAGGCCTGTACGTTGGTTCTGGGTAGTGTAGATAGAAAGTCAAAAATTACACCTACCAAAGTATATAATAAAGACTTCATAAGTGAAGTATTACTAGTTATTAAGTGGGATATTACCAAGTACAACGACGGAAAAAAATAAATACAAAAATGCCCGAAAGTACTTTCTTTTCTCCAACCACATCATAAATTAAAAATGATAAATTATAAAAAACCAGTACTCAATTTTTTTTCATGTAACAAAAATGGAAAATAAGACCGAAACAATGTTACATAAATCTTGTGTTGTTATGTAAAGTTTTACATATAGATACATACCTTACAATACAACATTAACATGTTCGAAAGTACCGTTTTTGACACACTAGTAATCCAAGTACGTGGATTCTTTAAACTTCAAACCTCTAATTCTCTATCGCCTGCTTTCTCTATTGGGTGCCGCGTGGTCTTGTCCAGTCGGGGATCAATGATTGTGAGGGTCTCGTGACGGCTCCACCGGAACTGTTCGCGTGGCTTGGGTTGTGAGGGCGTAGCAGTCCAGGTATTCCGTGTTCTGGGGGAGCGAGACTTGGATAAGAGTTTAATCTAATATTTATTACTTATACATTATTATCCAGGATAAACACGAAAAAAACACATTTGTGGGCTTGTTACACATTTATGCTTAGTCAGAAGTTCAAACAAAATTAAGAAGAAGAATTATTGGGAGGTTTTTTGTTCAGATTTCTATCATAACTGATAAGATGTGTTAGTCATCTACGGAGTAAGTGTGTAACTTTATTTAGAAATATACCGGTCAATTAGGGGACATATGGGATCTAAGTCATAAGGTAAAGGAGAGTACGTAGACCTAATTAATCAACAAACTCACTTTAGTTCTAGTCTTATTTATTCTGCCTCGGTCTTTCCTGTTTTGTGCAATTTTGCTTGGTTTTATATAAGAGTGAATCACTCTTTAACGGTGTACGTCGAAAATGTTTGTTACGTTTACACTTTTGTTCTGTTACTCTGGTGTTTCGTTTAATTCCTTGTAGAAAGTGCGTTGAACTGTTGCTGCACGTTGGTAAGATTATGTTTACAAATAATGGTTGAAGCTGCTTTGTCACGTTGTTCGTTAGAATATTTTCGATGCGACGCATTTGCTTTGTGTACGTTTATGTTTTGCGATCTTTATTTTTTCTAGTTCTTCGAAGTTTGTGTAAACGTTGCCCCTCTGATTTCCCTAGGCTCACTAGACAGCTACAAAGTCCCTAATATTTTCAACGGTGACGCGAGAGGTGAATTAGCACCAAAAGATTAAACGTCGCAAAGAAATTACGTCTCGAACGTCATTAGCAACGCCGTACAAATATCAGTCCAACCACTTACAAAGATTTTACTGTGGCGTACCAACAGTCAACCACTTTACAAAGAGTTAAAATACACAAATTCTCAAAGTTGGACAACCGCCAATATCAGGTTCGTACTTACGTCCATCACGTTTAGTTTCTATGATCAATGCGGATTCTAAAGGTCAAAAGAAACCTGACTATGTGAGAAGTTCTGCTCTTTCAAACGTAGTAATTTTACATAACATGGCTAGATAGATAGTCACACTATCTACCGATCTTTTTCTCAATAACACACACACACACATACACATACACACACACACACACACACACACACACACACACACACACACACACACACACACACAACACACACACACACACACACACACACACACACACACACACACACACACACACACACACACACACATACACATACACATACACACACACACCTTCATCTACACACACACCTTCATCTACACACACACCTTCATCTACACACACACACACACATACACATACACATACACATACATACACACACACACACACACACACACACACACACACCTTCATCTACACACACACACACACACACACACACACCTTCATCTACACACACACACACACACAACTTCATCTACACTCACACACACACACACCTTCATCTACACACACACACACACACACACACCTTCATCTACACACACACACACACACACACACACACACACCTTCATCTACACTCACACACACACAGACAGACACACACACACACTTCTGATCCCTGAGAGGTTTTACCAGCGATGGAGGATTTGCATTCCAAGCACATTCAGTATTGAGGAGGAATCCCAGGAATCCAACACACACACACACACACACACACACACACACACACACACTTGTTGTTCACACTGCTTAATGTCTGAGCTGAGTTTTACCCAGTGAATGACCTGGTTCTGTAAGGCTCAGGAAACATGAAGGAACTGGGATTATATGAAGTTACTTCAAGCACATATTCTTTACCGTTCCATTTTGGCTGTTTTTGCAAATGGCCTCAGCGTATTGTGCTTTTATGTTTTCATTTATTAAGTTGAAACTCTTCCCCTATAATATGTCTTTTATAAAGTAAGGACTAAAAAGGACTAAAATGTCCCGATTGAAAACCATAAAGCATATCTTTTTTTTATCTTATAGCCATTATAGCAGAAACTTGTTTCTTTGTCCTAGTTTAGGGTAAAATAATGAATAAAATAAAAAAGAATACAAAAATATAAATAATTAAACGTAACAAAATAAAGAATAATGAAGTGACAGTCAGCAGTGCTCTAAACATCTTCAGCTGTATCCCCACGCTGCCTTTCTTCCTCTGTGCCTCGTTGTGAATGAATAAAAGCTGAATTGGCGTTTCTCTCTGTCTGCCCTCAGGCTGCCATCCGTAAAGAGCTCAACGAATTCAAGAGCTCCGAGATGGAGGTTCACGAAGAAAGCAGGATCTACACCCGGTCAGAATCCTACCTCCTATACATCCATTATTCACCTGAACACCAGAAGATCATCCTCAGATCTCTTTGGAAGGTCATTAGAAAGAAGTCCGCAGCTACAATAAACTTTTCCCCTCTTTGTCTTCCAGGTTTCATCGGCCTTAGCTGCTAATGCTAGCCAGTAAAGCACTTAGACGGAGGAGTAAAAAGCCTGTGGTCCGTTAATAACTGACTGCATGCTAACCTGCTAACAGCTGGAGACACTACTGTTGCTGATCTGAAGCTAAAGAAGCCTCAGATCGGTTCCCCTCCTCAGACGTTCTCCGTGGAGTTCAGGACTCGAGGAGTTAGTTTGTAGGTGCGTCCATGATGGAGGTACCTGGTGCCAACACTGAATGAAAGAGTGGGAACACACCCCACACACACACCCCTCCCGAAACACACCCCAGAAAGACTGACCGCTGGAGGGTGATCACCTCCGGGGAAACGCCTTCCCACGCCTTCACCTGCCTTCTTCTACTTCCTTCTGAGGGAAGACTATGCACATAGAGATCTTTGTAGCTCCTAAAGGAATCATTCACCCACAAAATGATTATGAATTACTCACCTTTAAGTTATTGAAGAAACCACATGCTTTACGGTGAACGAAGACAACAAGACAAAGAAAAATGTACGGTTTCCCAACACTAAAATTATACCAAAACATCCAAACTCTCATTCATATTTTTTGCAGTATAAACCAAGTCTTGTTTCTTTTTTTGTATTGATGTTTTCATACATTTAAGCTGTTGTTAAACCACTTTAATTTACTTCAATTTATCAAGAATTCTCCTAGTTGTTTAACTCTTCGATTCAATATCCCATAATCGATATTGGTGCCTCACTATAAGATTCTTGATGAACAAGAATACATGATGTTGAAAAATGGATAAAGGCAAACAATCAAGAGCTCGAACAGTGATACATTTATTATACAGCCAATTTAAAACTACTACAAATACATTTACTACATATTATTAAATACAAATACAACATTGATATATTTCCCAGCGAATGAAAAGGAACAGTTTTCTACAAGAATTCAAGGTTTTGAGGGGAATGAATTGATATTATTTTGTGGGCGAATACATCCTTTAACACCCTTAATGGTACCACTAAACGAATGTGTTTTTAAACTGGCTATAAGTGCGTGTTCGGTACTACAAAAACCTGCCTTACTCCTCACAGGATCTCATGTAATGTGAACGACAGCAATGTGTTTCTTATTTAAACTCTTTGAATCCACATGTGTGTGAGTAGACCCTCAGAGCGCTGATTCCTAACATTAATATGTGGGCGTTTTGTACTGTATTTTTGTCATTTAAATGATTCTCATGGAGCACATGTCACTAGGTTTTTTTTCTTCTTTCTAATAAGGCACTTTATGTTCCTTAAATTGGGTGTATAGAAAAAAAAAAAAAAAAGTCTATAAATTGATGTTTATATAATTGAATTATCCGATCGGGAAAATGTACATATTTTTATTTTCCTGGCTGTTTTATTGGTACTTTATATATGCAAGTCCCCCTGTAGGCTGCAATTGTATAGATCACCTCTGTAGATGTGATTATATTGTACATCCTCAGTAATGCTGACATGTTTTAATTGTAAAGTATTTCTCTAATCTTATTTCCAAGTAGTAATGCTACAACATGTTTTTGTTTTTTTTGATACAGAGATCTTTAAAATGTTTTTTTCTCTTTGCAAAGCACACTGTATAAATGAACAATCCACTCAGTCATTAAAATAACCTGTGATTTTCATTTCAAAATGCTTTCATTATTCATTATTTTAGTGGACTCTGAAATGACAAGATGAGGGCAGTGTTATATAATATGCTCAGGGTTCAGAATAAATCCAATAACGTGCTTCACGAAAAAGAACGCCCTATTATGCTTTTTCCCCTTTCCTGTAGTGTGTTATGGTTTTGGTGCATGTAAATGGTCTGTAGAGGGAGTTTCTCTCCTACACATATTGACATCACTATGTAACACTCTCGCTCCTATTGGCCAGTGCTCCAACAACATCTCTAAGCGTTTAACCAATCACAACATAGCCAGCCAGCTAACCAATCAGAGCAGACTGGGCTCTGGTTTCAGACAGAGGGTGAAAAGAGGTGCTGCAGAACAGGCAGTATGAGAAGTAGAGACACTACATACTGATATACACCTGAACATCAGCAGGAGAGGACTCTTTAAAGTAGAGACACTACATACTGATATACACCTGAACATCAGCAGGAGAGGACTCTTTAAAGTAGAGACACTACATACTGATATACACTTGAACATCAGCAGGAGAGGACTCTTTAAAGTAGAGACACTACATACTGATATACACCTGAACATGAGCAGGAGAAGACTCTTTAAACTGTCAGCCAATAAAACACGTTGATTTCCATGCAACTCTCTGATTGGTCTGGTGGCGTCGTCTTGCCTCTGTGTTGCATTCACTGAAAACGGGAAATTACATTTCTGCCGTCCGTCCTATAGTTAAAGTAGGTTAATGTATTATATTATTGAGGGATAATTTGTCCGGGGCTAAAGAAAAAACCTAACCCAGGCGACGCCCCTGCTGCAGTTCCTCCTCACTTTTGGCACCTCCATGACATCCATGTCAATAAGTGTCAAACAGGAGAAGACCTCACCTGCTATGTGCCAACCCAGTCTCGCAGCATTTCGTGTTATAGTCACGAAATTAATTTAATCTATTGATTCGTGTTCACCAACACCATTTTAGCATTTTTTTTTAAAAGCAATGTATTTCTATTGGTTGTATGTTTCATAGTATGTTTTCATTTGTGTAGTGCAGTGCCCACGTAAACATTGATTTAATATGACGTTACGTTAGCTACCAAGCTTATGTTAGCCAAAGATGCAATGAAAAAAATCCTACTAGCTAGTGTTAGCTAATGTTTTCAGAGAATAATTCTGCCTGAAGCCACTCTATCCACAACAAATGTTATCATGTTCTAAAAACAGAAAAGCGGTTTATTAAAGCTACAAAGTCTACGCCAAAAATCATATTAAACCACTGTCTTTACATGCTTTCAGCAACTCAACTCAAAAGAGAGGAATCAGTGACAGAGTGATACATCCTGTCATGCTGGATCAAATATTGAATCTCACTGTCAGGTTTAATTTGTAATAAATGTAAAAAAAAAAGAAAAATACAAATTCATAAGCTTCCCATTTTCTTCCTCGTCTGAGTTGTGGATGTTGTAATTTATTTTAATCTTTTGAGGACTCAGTAGTTGATAAAAAATGTTTAATGTTCATGTTAGGGTCTTATGTAACTTTGGGTGGTAGGCTATAGTACAGTGCCCAGTTAAAAATGGAATAGATTAATATGACGTTAAATTAGCTAGCTTGCTTACTTTAGCCATAGTACGAAAACTAGCTGGCCTGTGTAACGTTGAGTTATTGAGCTTCTAGCCGAACTCCACCTACAAAAAATGTAATCATGTTTTACTAACAATAAACGATTAAAAATACAATGTCTCTTTACATGCTTTCAGCAACTCAACTCTATAAATAGGAATCGGTAACAGAGAGATAAATCCTGTCATCTTGGATCACGTAGTTCATCTCACTGTCAGTTATCATTTGTAATGTAAGATAGACTGCAAATCCATGGGGCCTCATTTGCTTCATTTTCCCCCTCGTCTGCTGCTGATATAGCACTTCATGACAGAATCGTTTTTAAAAGCTGCTGCTGAAATGATGGATGTAATCTAAGAGATGGAGATGGTGTCATCGCTGCTTTAAATTGAAGATGTCTCCGTGTGCCTGATAAACTCCAACCTAAGGTAAAATAAGGTGTCTCAGCTCCTTCACAGCTTGGCTTTAATTACTCCTATAATCACATTAACTCTGAGCATGTGGATCCTCATCATCAGGTTGTCAGACACTTCTAAATTGGTTCGCCTGTTATCACTCTGCCAGACTGTTGTAATGTAAACACAATTAAGTTAAAGTAATCATAATCGCTGAATCCTCGGTTACAAGCCAAAGACAGTAAGGCACATGTGTCAAACTCAAGGCCCGGGGGCCAAATCAGGCCCTTGGTGGATTTAATTTCGGCCCGAAGAATAATTTCTAATTACTATTAGATCTGGCCTGCCGGTATATTGCACGCACACCTTCACTCCATCCTGAGGATTTCCTCAGCTGACCCCAAACATTGATGAACTTGCACCCAAGATGAGATGCCAAGTATCTGAACTAGCATCACAGAGCAGCACAGTTTAATGTTTAATGGATGTTTCCTTCTGCACTTTTTCTCTCATGACAACAGGGCATGTTTGGTTTCTCTTTGAGGGAAATAGTTTTTTTGAAGCTGTTGTTGGCCTGTGGGAAAAT